GACCTGATGGGATTCTACCATCACTTATTAAGTCTGCAAGACAGTTTTTAATTGATCCGCTCTTGTATATATTTAACTTATCTTTTAAATCTGGTATTTCCCAGACGCCCTCAAATTGGCCAAAGTAACACCTGTATTTAAAAAAGGAGTCACTACAAATCCTTCGAACTATAGACCAATTTCAGTTTTATCGGTATTTTCTAAATTGTTAGAAAAGCTCATGCACGCCAAACTCACTGGTTTTTTAGAACGTTTTGAAATTATTTTTACTTATCAATTTGGATTTCAGAAATTCAACTCTACCTACATGGCCATTTTATATTTCATTGAACAAATTCGAAAATCAACTGATTTGGGGAAAACGAGCATTGGCATAACATTAGATTTTTCCAAGGCCTTTGACACTATTAATCATGACATTTTGATACAAAAACTTGAATATTATGGCATCAGAGGAATAGCTAAGTCCTGGTTTGAAAGTTATTTAAAAGACCGCAAACAATATGTCACCATTAACAATTATGAATCTAAACAATCATCTCTAAATTGTGGTGTTCCGCAGGGCTCGGTACTTGGACCACTATTATTTATTCTTTACATAAATGATCTGCCTTTTGTTGACCCTAATCTAAAATTTATTATGTTTGCTGATGACACCAATCTTCTTGATAGTGATTAAGATTTAAATGAACATATGACTAGAACTAATGCAAACTTGAATTCAATAGATGACTGGATAAAAGCAAACAAACTTTCACTTAATATTGGCAAAACCAATGCTATTCTATTTGGACCCAAAAAAATCAAACAAATCTGAATCTCAAAATACGCAATGAGAACATAAATTTCCGGGATAAAATTGACTTTCTTGGAATTATTATTGATAAAAACTTGAAATTTAAAGAGCACATAAAATCTATTGAAACAAAGATTTCTCGCGCCATTGGTTCTCTTTATCACATTAAACATCTACTTCAAATAGACAGTTTCAAAACAATTTACTACTCATTGATACACTCTCAATTAAATTATTGCAACATAATCTGGGGTAACACATTTAAATCATTTTATGATCGTCTACATAAACTGCAGAAACAATTCTTAAGGCTAGCTTTAAATAAGGATAGACTTTCTCACTCCGCTCCCTTATTTGAAGATCTTAACATATTAAATATTTTTGATGTCAACAGATATTGTACTGGTCAGTTCATGTACAAAATATTTAATAAGCACCCCAGTCTTCCAAAAAATCTATTTCAAGACTTGTTTGATATCAACATTAATATTCATCATCATTACACAAGACAATTGCATTATTTTCATATCCCTAAATGCTCTAAACTTTCCCTTCGCTATCTAGGTCCTAATCTTTGGAATGCTCTACCACATGATATTAAAAAATGCTCCACTCTAAATATTTTCAAATCTTCATATAAAAAACTACTCATCTATCGATAATGTATAATACCAATATCATACTATACTGTTGATTTTATACTGATACCTGATTTTTGTAACATTTTTACATCGTACATCCTTAGATTAATTGTTAATACCATTTTTATATACCTACATGTAACATAATATAAGTGTTTTCTTTTATATGTAGTCTAGATGTCATTTTAATGATTTCTGTTAGACCGCAACATATACCCACTAGGGTGTCTAGCGGCTTGTTTTTATAGTGTATATTATATAAGAATTATGAAATAAATTGAATTGAATTGAATTGAATTATATATTTATTATATATTTTTATTTTTTGGGATCCTGTTTTTACGGCGTTCGCATTAAATACAAACCACTCTGTTACGTCACGTATATGACGTTCGTTGAATTATCGCAATCAAAATGTCAGACGAAATGGAATTTCCATTGCAATTTATCTGACTATTCAATGTTCGCTGGATAATAATTCCCAATGGGATAAACGGACAATCCTATATAGTTTTTCAAAAATACCACTTATATCCACTCATGGATATCAGTATCTTCACTCATTCGCTGCGCTCACTCGCGAAGATATCAATATCCACTCATGGATATAAGTGATATTTTTTCAGAGCCATAGGATATTCCTATATTATTCCATAGTTAGCATGATATCCATAGGATAACATGTCAAGATAAAAACGGTATTTTTGAAATCAGTGGTAAAATATGATATTTTTGGCAAATTTTCACTTAACCATAGCATACGGTGTTTTAGCCATGACATGCGGCGCCGTATGCCATGGTTTGTGGATTTTTGCTACTTCAGACTCAAAACGAGGCTAAGTGTCAATATCGCCGTATCGTTTGGAAAATTCGTTTTAGATCACTTAATTCCCGAAGATTCTGATGATGACTTTAACTATGGAATATAAAGAACATCCTAGGGACCAAGGGAATACATATTATATATCCCTCGGGATATTCCCTGTATCCAAAACCTCCAAGTGCATAACTGTTGTATATAGTTTAGCATGATATGTACTTCTTTCTGTAACTGGAATACGATTCTAATATACAAGCAGCACATACGTATTCCCGGGGAACCATAAATATTTTGTGTAGTGTGTGGACATTTTTCTTTTCATTTCTCTAAAATCAGATTATTCTCATAAAATTCATACAAAGTTGGGCCTAAGCCTCTATTTTCGTATTCTGCATGTTAAGATATTTATAATGTAAAACCTAAGAAATAAATTCAATGTCTTCAGTTGAGAATAAGTATAAGGTAAATGTGTGAATTCTGCTTGTTGTTGCACTATTTTTATAATAAACAAGGTTCGATACGCAACACTGAATAGACCGCAGTCATAGCTCAGTTGTAAAGAAAACAAAAGAAGTTGGGACGTGGTCATGCTTGAATACGATTTTAAATATATCGCCGTTTACATTTGTTGAAATCGGCCTGTATTAATTTCAACAGGTGATCGGTGTACAAGGGCATACATTTGAGTTATTGGTTTAACGATAAGTATGACCTATGAGTGGGTAACGTTTTATAAATGCATGAAACAAATACTCCAATGGCCTAATCTCAATTTTCCTGCATAAACTATTACATTGAAATGATGGTCATTTGCTCTCTAACTTCCGCACCGCATACGTAACTTCGTAACAATTCAATAAGCCAAGACAGGACCGCTATAATCGCTACATGCCAGTGACAGTTTTCCGGTTTAGGTTTTTTGACTGATTCTGACTCTTCATCACCAGGGTCATGTATAGAGATTATAAAATTGAAACCAAAATGTTGTGCTCAGCATGAATTTGACTGAAATATGTGTAAATTCACCAATACAACTGAAGTCTCAAAACTGGATGCTCAGTAACTTTGAGTGACTATAATCCCTTGATTACACAGATAAACACCAATTCATTTATCCAGAAATACCATTCAATGTCTATACAAAGAAAGTAAGCAATGTTTTGAAGGATATGTTTCAAACTTTTTGTATAAATAATTCATTTAATATTTGCCATTGATTTTTTTTCAATTCTAACAAAGTGATATGCACTGTCTTTGATGCAAACATTCTTCATCAATTGTGATACAAATTGATATTTTTGTAATCTCAGAAGAAGGATAAGATATTGAAGTTTGTTAATATGTGTGATTGAGTTGGTTTTTCAGACATTTCAATTTTCTATATTTTCTAAGTCGATACCCAGACTCATTCCCAGACTCATCCTTTCCAGACAACAGTAAAACGGTATTTACCTGGAACACAATGATATGTCACGCTATGACAGGTTAAATCACGGCAACACAACCCCTTGTTCTTCTTGGAAATAGGACCAGTTTCCACCCTACAGACCTTTTTTGAAGCGCATGTCTCGTTTGCAATAATTAGGATATCAAATGTACATTGTTTGTTTCTCGTCACACAGGGAACAGTGTCAATTGCATGAATGAATGCAGAATCAACCTGAACCATCATGTGCGTGGGGCACTTCATATAGATTGCGAGTGGGACATTTTTTCTAGACAGCTCACAAGTAGAAGTATAGCGAAGTACCGGCGGAGCTGCAAAAACACATAGTCGTCATTGAATTTTTTGCTATTAGTGCATCCTATTAGGGTCTTTATATAATTGAATAAACTCAAGGAGCACATGTCTCTTAAGTTGTTATGAAGTAGCTCAAAACAGTTTAACTCATTTAATACTGGGGCAAAGAGCACGATAATACTGACGAATTTTTAAAAATTGCCATATTATTTCAAACGTTGCTGCGCTATTGTGTGCAATGGACTCTATGTAGTCCGGAGTAATGCAATTTATTTATTCATTTAAACTTGATTGAAATTATACTTTGATATACATGTAGTATATCAGTCTATACACATATACAAAGCAACATTAGAAATCAACATTAAAACAATATGAAGGAATCAAGTTGACCTAGCACCCCAAAACATGTTATTAAAAAGTCATCCACCTTTATTCTTTGAAAATCGGTTGCTTAAATTATTTAAACTTATAAAATCATCTTACTGGTGGGTATCCCTGGTGTTGGAGTGGCTGTAGAATGTATACGAATGGTTCCACCTGAAACATTAAAGTAATTTGAATTTACACATCTTTAATTAAAATATTTATATTTGATCATATAAATAATAAAAAGCGCACAGAATTGTCTGACATATCATAGCCGAGGAACAAAACATCAATAACCAAACATATATCCTTATAAATCTATCATATTTACATTTTAACCTACAATTGTAATTATATCATTGTAACCTACAAAGCCAATAATGCTTCAGCGTAGGCCTTGAATTTATTTGTTGACAAATATAACGAAATAAATATAACAAAACCTAAACACAAACATAAACGATCAAAACCAACTTTGGACTCAGATTACGGCATCAATTTCAACCATTTACAATTTTAAGGTAATGATAAGTAGAGAACTTGGAGATAGACAAAACCATGCGTAATTGTGTTCAAATATTGAATTACATTCAGTGAAGGACATGGTTTTTGTTTGATATCTGGATGTAGCTTACTTTGCAGTGTTGTTGCTGCGGTAACCAGCGTTGATCCTGGGGTAGTCTCTGGCTCAACTACAAGAATCACATTCAAAAAGATAATCTATGACATGAGTTAAATCAGGTAGAACTTTCAATGGAACTTAATTTGAATCCGGAAACCATGGTGAATGCAAGATTAGAACTGGATTGATCTTAGGATTCTACTTTTTAGTAACCGTAACCTCGATTTAAGCTTCATAGCTAAACTTACAACATTATCTTTTTCTAATCATTTCAAACTTTTTCTTTGTTGTTACCAAACATACACCAATATGTGGACTGTTTCTTTCCTTAGAATTTTATGATTATTTAATATTAATGATTTACAATGCATCAGCAAAGCCATTGAAAATTGTTGCAAAATTGTGATAACATCATGATAGTACAGAAATAAAAAGTAAATAAAAACCATCTCAGTGGTACATAATTAACATACGTTTACATTGAGGTGAGTCACCACTCCAAGCACCACTCGGTAGACATTGTCTAACGAAAGCAGTTTGGTAGGAACCTCCAATAGCCTTTGTAGGTACGTAGCCCGGAATACATCCAAGAACAACACGACTGCCCACCGTTCTGCTTTGTTCCGAAATGTAACCGAATCTCGGAGCCTCCAGTTTGCGACAACTGGTGGCGTTTAGTGGTTCTTTTAGTTTAAATCAAGAATACAAGATAAAGATATACAATTTCAGTGCCATTTCATGGAATAGACATATGGTTTGCGTATGGCGCATATGCACATGCATATATGCCTCCACACTGATGTATTCAATTAACCATTTCGATAACACTTTATACAGTAGCATCATTCAAAACTAAAATCAGATAGATAATTGGCTAAATTATAACTAAAAAAGAAGACGAAGAATTATATCTAACTGCGTCATTTCACACAATTCTACGTCAGAACAATACGATTATATTAGTCTATATAGTCATACTGATCATGATGACGTCAGATTATAGGTTTAAACTATTCTTGTTACATGGATGAAATAATACTTAAGTTTCTTTTATTGCCCCTTTCAATCTAAATTTTATTCGCGAATGCAATTTTCGGCTGTCGGCTACCGGATTAACCTACTATTTTATGACGAACTCATTTAAATATGAATAGAATAGTGGCAAGTTCTATTCATATTTAAATGAGTTCGTCATAAAATAGTAGGTTACAGCTGAAAGTTGCATTCGCGAATACAAGCTTAATTCCAGAAAAGCACTTTGAGAAAGAGTTTAAAGTTGTTTACCGTACTGGCACACAACACCGTATCTTTGATCCTCACATCCAGTTTCACCAAGCAAGGGTCTAAAGTATCTAAGCGCTATACGTGTACCCCACCATCCTTAAATATTGACAATCAACATTGTTTGTATCGTTGTTGCCTATGCGCCATGCATCTTTTACATACATTATATTTTGATATGTATATACTGTTTACACTAGACACGTACTGGATGAGCGTGGTGTAAAAGTGGTTTTGAAAAATAGCAAATTTTTCTTTATGTAGGTAATTTGTGGTTTATGATTCTACATTGATTCTGAAAATACTGGTGTCTAGTTTTTCAGCGTTTTGGAAATATTCAGATTTATACCCCCCTTGTTTGATTTTGCGTGGGTTACTAGGAAGGCCATGTGAAATTCCTAGAATTTACAACCAATCATTTTGATATTTACAGGTAATCATGTACTTATCATGTCCTACAAAAGTAATAAGTTTCATCAAAGTTAGCGGATAGGTTGCTATGGAAACGGAGATCATATGTCAAAAAGTACACAATTTCGTCAAAATGTAAGACACCCCATGAGACAAAACACATATTATTTTAATGAAATTGGAAAGAAACACCATAAAAACATTTTAGAAAACTTATTCAGAGTATGTTTGATAATATTAAATCAAGTGCTGTTTTATCTTATCCACACAGTGGAATCTACTGCTCATGATTATATGGCAATGCAAATTAATTTAGAAAGGGGACATGGCACTTTTCCAAAGAATTCTTAACTTGTGTCCAAATTTTTAAATAAAATAAGTAACCAATTGTCCTGTTATTTACAGATATTATTCCCATCATTATGTTTGACTATCATGGAAAGTTTCATCAGTGTTGGCTTACAGGTTACTACAGTAGGCAGATTTATACCCCTTGGTATGATTTTTAATGGGGGTACAATGAAAGCCATCTATAATTCCTAGAATATACAGCCAATCATCTTGATATTTACAGGTAATCGTCTACATATCATGTCTTACAACCATGACAATTTTCATCAATGTGTATTAATTGGTTGCTATGGAAACATAAATCATTTTTTCAAAAGTACACATTAAGGGAGGTACTATGAAAGCCATATATAATTCCTAGAATATCTAACCAATCATCTTGTTATTGACAGGTATTTATCTACTCACCATGTTCTTCCACTATGACAAAGTTCATAAATGCGGGGCAAATGGTTGCTATGGTAACATAAATCATTTGTTAAAAAGTACACATTAGGTCGTACTATGAAAGCCATTTATAATTCCTTAAATATCAAAACAATCATTATGATATTTACAGACAATCTACTACTTATCATGTCCTACCATGATGACAAGTTTCATCAATGTGGGTCAAATGTGGGTAGAAATCTATTTGTTAAAAGAGTACACATTTCGTAAAATTTTAAGACACACCCTTAGACATTGAAAATCGTCATCAAATTGGGAAGAATTAGCATGAAAACATTTTGAAAAACCTATTTTGAGTATGTCTGATAATATTTAATCAATGGATATTTTATCTGGGCCATTTGATATATTGTATTTGCTTATGATAATAAAACTATGCAGAATGCGGCTGTCCCATTATGCGTAGGGACATAGTAAATTATGAGCTGATCTCACTTAGTCATCTTTTATATAATTTGCATCAAAATCCTCATTCATAGATCTTTCAATGTCTACTTCTGTCAAAGCATCCATTGTAATCTTTATGTGTTTATATGTCTATGAGATCATCAGGTGGAATGGGTTGGTCTGGCCAATTTGGCTCTATTTTGCCATCAACAAGTTACCACGTCACTTGTAATAACCAAACTAAGAGATATATACAACTATTACACCCAATTTAAAATACTGGAAATGCTTCTTAATAAATTCTAAAAACAATGAACAGTTGAAAAAAAACAACAGACATAAAAAACTTGAGAACAACAGCATGTATTACTCTGAGTGTAAAACATGTCCGTTGATGACCAGTGATGGCAATAAAGCGTCCACTGTTGTGATTGATGAGATGTGATAAGTTTTATGAAATGTTTCCATGCTTATTTCTCCCAAAATGATGAACATATTATGTGCTTAATGTCAAAGGTTACATGAGTCTTAGATTTTTACAAAAATGTGTACTCTTTTAACAAATGATTTCTGTTACCATAGCAACCAAATTACCAACATTGAAAGCACTTGTTATACTGGTAGGACATGTAAACGGATGATTACCCGTAAATATCAAGATGATTGAATGAATATTCTAGGAATTATACATGGCTTTCATAGTACCCCCTTAATGTGCACTTTTTAACAAATTATTTCTGTTACCAGAGCAACCAATTAACCAACATTGACGTCACTTGTCATACTGGTAGGACATGATAAGCAGATGATTACCTGTAAATATCAAGATGATTGATTAAATATTCTGGGAATTATACATAGTACCCCTTGATGTGCAATTTTTAAGAAATGATTTATGTTACCATAGCAACCAATTGACCAACATTGATGGCACTTGTCATACTCGTAAGACATGATAAGCAGATGATTACCCATAAATATCAAGATGATTAATTGAATATTCTAGGAATTATACATAGTATCTCCTTAATGTGTATTTTTTGATAAATTATTTCTGTTACCATAGCTACCAAGTGTTAAACATTAATGAAACTTGTCATAGTGGTAGAGCATCATAAGTAGATGATTACCTGTAAATATCAAGATGAATGGCTGTATATTCTAGGAATTATAGATGGCTTTCATTGTACCCCCCTTAAAATCATACCAATGGGGTATAAATCTGTTTACCATAGTAACCAGTTATCCAACACTGATGAAATTTTTCATGATAGTCAAACATAATGATGTGAATAATATCTGTTAATTTCAGGACAAATGGGTACTCATTTTCTTCAAAAAGTTGAACACAAATAAAGAATTCTTTGGAAAAGTGCCACATCCCCTTTCTAAATTTACTTGCATTGCCATATAATCATCAGCAATAGATTCCACTGTGTGGATAAGATAAAACAGCAGTTGATTCAATATTATCATATATACTTGAATAAGTTTTCTAAAATGGTTTCATGGTGATTCCTTCCAACTTCATGAAAATAATATGTGTTTTGTCTCATGGGGTATCTTACATTTTAACGAAAATGTGTACTCTTTAACATATGATCTTCATTTCCATAGCAACCAGTTGAAAAATCAAGATGATTGGCTCTATATTCTAGGAATGATATATGGCTTTCCAAGTACCCCCCTTAAAATTACACCAGGGGGGTATAAATTTGAATATTTCCAAAACGCTGAAAAACTAGACACCAATGATTTCAGAATCAATGTATAATAATAAACCACAAATAACCTATATGAAAATAAATTTGCTACTTTTCAAAACCACTTTTACACCACGCTCATCCAGTACGATAATCTGTAGCCTATTTGTGAGTTGAACCATGATACTTGGCAGATCAATGTAACTTTGGACAAGCTTTAAAATGATATATGATACATCCTATGGGGACATTGGTGTATGGCTGCCTAGGGGGGTGGGGGCATACTTTCGGGACACCCTTTATATTGATATCGGTGGTTTAATATTATAGGATAGACTAACAGCATCATTCGAATTCTCATAATTACCTTCTTCTAATTGAGCCTTGACACACCAACTTTCATTGAACTTCGGTAGATATGTTCGGTCCGCTGGAACAAGTAAAATAACAAAGTTGGGTAAAACTGGTTTAATCAAATCGGGTATCAGAAAACTTTGAAAACAACATAAGTTAGGAACAGTACGAAAAGTAGTTTTAAATTAAACCAAGTATACATTTTCGCATTAATGGAATCATACGCCGATGGGTATGATAGTTATACAGTCAATAGGATGACTAGCCATGAGTTTTCAAATGAAGATTCACTTAACATTATTATGATATCATAATAGAAGAATAGAGACTCAAAATTAAAACGGGAAAATTATACACCAATGGAGATACTGATATCACTGTGTACAATGACGTCCCTTCTTAATCTAAACTTAAACAGGCAATGCGCTTATTTTTGAAGGAAAAAAAAGGACAAAATATTATTTGAGACATGTCACTCACACAGTCAATCAAATATGATAAAAACTTTAATTTGGGTCAATACTGAAGTGAAAAAAAATGACTCGCATAGAAAACAGCATTTGAAGTTCAGAGTTCAAAAGAAGTGAATTACCACTTTTCACAAAGTGTATGTTTTTAAATAACTCTTGGACTAAAAGATGGCGTATGGTTGAAAATCCTATCAAAAATGAATGGACAATTAATGCAAACAACAATGCCATCTTTCTATGGCATTGCTAAAAACTTGACATCTATAAATTGATAGATGAAAAATATTTTTTCATGATCTAGTGGTCTGTTTGAGCTGTTTCTGGTGTCAAATAAAAGATCAGGTACTTATTAATCCATTGGAAATACTATGAAGATCAAAAGTGAGACTTCATTTACGCACTTTGTCCCTTTAATAATAAACCCGCAAAAGTTTCGGCTTCATACATACCTATTACCCAATATTTATTTCGTTCTCGTTTTATTACATCTAAGTGTCTCAGCACTAGATTTAGAATCTCGATGCTGGAAATCACCGCCATTGTAGACTGTTGGTCTCTACATTTTTTCTTTGCATCGTCATAACTATACGACTGGTCCTCAATAAATTCATAGCACACGTGTCTATATACTTCCTGTCTGTTTGTTGTCGAACGGCAAAACGAAGTGTCAATATCTAAAAGGAAAATAAACAACGGAACTTCAATCATGACAACTCATAACATTTCCTATCTCCATAAAAATGCTGGGCTTCTCAAGAACACACAGATTCTTAACTACCGTAGTTTTATAATTGAAAATCATTATAATTTTAATATCCGCTTACTTTTGTAGGTCCATGCATAAAAAAAAACGAACAGGCATTTCATAGTGTTTAACAAGTACACACCTAGTTACGCTGACGATAGAAATTCCGGGCCTCGTTTTCGGTAATATATTTTTAATTATGTATCGATTCTACACCACTTATAAGTCAATTTGTAGACAATAATTTGGCTCAAAGTTAAGGAAGATAGTCTAGTTTGAGAATAAGCAGGCGGTTCTATGTTTGGTATATTAACGAAGACGCAATTTACATATTTAGTCCCTCGCTTTTGTTACGTTTACGATCTTCGTGAATATTGCCAATGTGACAATATTCATGGAGATCGTGTGCCAAATAATTATCCACAGCTTGACCCATAAGTGGTGTAGAATCGAGAAATAAAAATATCTTACCAAAAACGAAGCCAGAAAGTTCTTTCATCTTGTTACGCTAACGTATCGTCAGCGTTACCAGGTGAGTACCAGTGGTTTAAGGACGTGTAGAACGGTTTAAACTAATTAGCGTGACTGGAGGGAGTGGGGGAAAATCGAAAAAAAAGTTTAAACTTACTACACACTGGTTGCTTTCCCGTCCATGTATATTCCCATTCCGATGGTTGATCATAGTATGTGGTCTCCTTTTTGATACAACTCCTCTTTTGTTCTCCCCCTAATGAAAAGTCCCTGTTGCATGAATAAGATATAGTGATGTTCCAGTCATCTGCTTTGGGGACATAAACCTGACCATTAGCAGGTGCTTGAGGCGTTTTACATGATGCTGAAAGTCAAAGGATGGAAATTAATCTAAGATACTATACTATACTAAAATTAACGATTTTGAATATGTATTGTTTATCCCTACATTCAAGTATTTGTATAATTTATTGTTTTCCTCTACATTTAAGCAATTGTCTTGAAATCGTTTGCAATACGAATATGTATATTGCTTTATTTTCTATACTTTTATTTATCAAGTTCATGAATTTGTCTTTTACTCCCTAGATCTGCTAGTTGTGAATTGGATAAAAAAGATTGCAATACATTGCAGCAGCAAACTAACTTGCTGGATGACATTGTGTTTTTAATTTAATTTTAGTGTCATATATCATTTTAAAGCTTATCCAAAGTTACATTGATTCGCTAAGTATCATGGTTCAACTCTCAAATGTGAAAAAATTACAGGCATTTCAAAATTTAGTGTTTGGTCAAAATTAAGTTCAATTTTACACCAAATCAATAGTCAATGTGTCCTCCCGAGCCATCTTAACAGCAGCAATTCTTTTCGGGTCGGATGGATATTGAGTTGGAAAAAGAGAACTGTGAGGGTAGAAACTGTAAGGAAACTCTTCTAAAGTGCCTTAACAGGTTTTAAGAGGGTTATAAAATGTATGACACATACTATGATGGCACTAGAATATGCCTGCCTAGGGGGGGGGCATACTTTCGGGACACCCTGAAAACAGGCATTGAATATAAATATGATATGCTTGTAAATATGCAGCTTAGACTTGAGAGTGCCATTATATTTAACGTCAGTCAATTTTCAATAAAGTGAAATGAATATTTTTTGTTCATGATAAGGCTTTGGCTTTTGTATTTTCGGAATATCAAAGAATACTGTAGAAAAAGAAGAAAACTTCTTTTTTTGTCCAAATGATATGAGTTGGTTACTTAGTAATTGACCTTATACATAACAAAGTTCCTTGAAAATGGAAAAAGTCTACTTTTTGCCAATTTAAAGTAAATATCGAAAACTGAAATTCCAAGAGCTTTGAAATCTTCACAGTACATAAGTTGCCAATACAGCAACTACTTATTAGTCAAAATTCAATATCAGATCCCATACTAGATCCCATATTAGCCAAAATTTAGTATCAGATCCAGTATCAGAGCTATTCTTTGAGATTTCTCTTGATTTTTACGTTTTCGTTCTATTTTAAGACTTGTTAGTAGTTGAAAATCAAATTGCATCAGTTTTGGCGATGACATAAAAAAATGAAAATAAATAAAATAAAAATTATTATGGAATACATACTAGGTAATTGATGATTGTGATAGCATACGAATATTATAATTTCTTTGGCCAATCAGATCTAGCGAGTAAGCTTAGCAAAAATTGTTTCTATATTAGAATATTTTTGATATCATTCCTTGTAGTGTCTATTTTCTAAAATTGCCAGAGTTTAACTTTATTTCAGGAAAATCTAAAGATTTTACAACAATTTATTTTTCTGGCAAATGGTAATAACTTTGGCAAAACAAGTTTCATATTGGGCAATGCACTGAATGCCAGTGTATGTCAAATTAGACAATCATGATTTCAAATACAGTTGTGAACCATTAACCATATATAGTGGCCCATCTGTGACATCAGAGTCACAAAAAGGTTATTGCAAAATAAAATATATGGATGTTTTTTCTGAAAAAATAAGCTTTCATTTGATATACATGCAGAGAATATTCAAATAATAGTTTTCTGCACATTCTTATCAATAGTTTAAATAATTCAGTATTAACAAACAACATTTTGTTCGTGAATCTGTTTGTGCCAAAACAGGTCAATTTAGCCATTGTGACCAGTAGCTTTAATATGATATATAACATGGTCACATTCCAATAAAATTGAAATTTCACAATGAATTGCGGTAATTAATTTTAATTTTCAATTATCTTAATCAAAATTCACCATTGTGACATCACAAAGCATATATACACTTCAATTAACTGAACTTGAAATGAAATAATGAAATCTCCTATTCAACACCTGTTTCCATGGTAACAATACATGCTTTTCAAATGAGTCAATATCATACATTTTAGATATATACCTCTTTATTGAAATGAGACCAAAACTAATCCAAATGGCCACAGATATTTAAAGTTATAAGACAATTAAAATGTGTTTTGGTATTGAAATTCACAAACTGTGTGCTAAACCTATGCAATTATAGTAGATTTAAGTAGTTCTGGCCATTGCTTCATCAGAGCAAAATATGCTATATCTCAGTGGGTGATTGTCTAATCCTTTTGTTTCGTATACCAACGTATTTGTAAGAAAAGCAGCTTTCATTTGATATACATGAAGGTGATATTTTTACTAAATTAGAATTACACGATGAATTGGCTTAAAGGAGACCAAATGAAATAAACAGTTTTCTATTTGAATTTCACAATTGTGATGTCACAATGTAAATTAGAACTGTTTTATACTACAAATTTAGTCACAAATGTTCAAGATTTACCTATCTCTATTGAATTCTCGCCATTTACGCATTAAAAAGGAGAATATTTTTATCATTTGGTGCACATAAACCTGAAATGGGTTGTTACAGTATTATGTTCTATTATATTCACATTAAGTTTAGTTTATCTATATGTATATACTGTAACTGATCTTTATTAGAGATCTTGGGTCAAGGTCACAATGACATTATACACTGTATCTTGTAAACAGAACTGAACTGAATGACTCATTAACTCTTGACCATCCAGAGAGTTCTAGAAAATATAACCATTCATTAAGACTTAATCATGTGACTGGAGATGTCCAATCAAAACTCAACAAGTAGTCTCAGTTCCAGAAGATTCTTTCTAGATGATTCTTTCACATTATAAATAAAACTGCAAAGTGGACTCAGTAGCAGATAATTAAGTAATCATAACTGGACATCTCAAAGGAACTAAATAAAGCAGAATTTCAAAGTTTATCAAAGGACATCTTCTTAGCAGAAAATTACAGACACATACTGTGGGAACATTTATAACACTACAAACATACAACCTGAGGACTTTATATGGACATATATTACAACACACACTATATACGGATTATCATATACATTCGTGGATTATCATAAACATTTGTGGATTATCATCAAACATTTGTGGATTATCATCAAACATTATTGGATACGAACATTATAGGATTACAACAAACATTATTGGATTATTACAAACATTGGAGAACTATTAACGATTATTGAAACATTTCGTGATCTGGAACATTCTCAAGGATCGTCAACGACATTTATCGACATCAAGAATAAACCGTATCATAGATTGGACATCACTTAAGTATTAAACCTCTTTTATATTATAGTTATATTGTTATATTATTTAGTTTTCAAATATAAATATATTGTTATCATATTTTAATTGCTGTTTTTATTTTCTGTTATTTTCGAACGTAACAGAAATTGGGGGCTCGTCCGGGATACAACTACAACAAGCTAAAATTCATAAAATTCAAAATTCCAAAATTGTATATCTAAATTGTGAAGACAGCAATTAATCAAAAATGAGTTTTGAGGTTGAGACATTTTTAGAAGCGCCCTCTTTGGAGGAGTTTGACAAGTTAAAGAAAACTGAACTTCTGGCACTAGCAAAACATGTTGGTTTGGCAGTAAAAACTTCATACCGAAAAGGTGCAATAAAAAATATTCTGGTACCATATTTGGTAGCGGAAGAAATATTACCAGAAGAAGCATTAAAGCTTATTGTAGAGCCAGTCCAGCATGTTGAGCCTGTAGATCCTATAAGGCTTAAAGAGCTTGAAATAAGAGAAAAAGAGCTTGAAAATGAAAGGAGAGAAAAAGAGTTGCAAAATGAAAAAGAATTAAGAGAAAAAGAGTTAGAAATGCAAAATGAAAGAGAAAAAAGAGAAAATGAAAGACAAATGAGAGAACAAGAAATTCAAAGAGAAATTGAATTAAAACGTTTGGAAATAGAAGCTCAATCTAAAACTGATGAACATGCTACTATGCATCAACATTTTGAAAATAGATTTGACGCTTCAAAATTTCTCAAATTTGTACCTAAATTTCAGGAGAAAAATGTTGATAAATACTTTACGCATTTTGAAAAAGTCGCTCAAAGCCTCGATTGGCCTAAATCAGCATGGCCAGTTATGCTTCAGAGTGTATTCATTGGTAAAGCAAGTGAAATATTTGCCTCTCTCTCAGCAGAAGTATGCTCTGATTATGACCTTATTAAAAATGCGATTCTTAAAGCTTATGAACTAGTGCCAGAAGCTTACAGACAAAAATTTAGAAATGCCCACAAACAGAGTGACCAAACCCATGTTGAGTTTGCTCGAGAGCAAGAGCAGCTTTTTGACAGGTGGCTTGTCTCTAAAGATGTATCTGAAGAGTTCAAAAAGCTCAGAGAGCTTATGCTAATAGAACAATTCAAAAACTGTGTTCAATATCACATTAGAACTTATTTAGATGAACACAAGGTAGAAACTTTAAGTCAAGCTGCCACCCTGTCTGATGATTATGCTCTAACTCATAAGGGTAGTTTTATCAAAGGTAATCCTAACTTTAGAGGTTATCAAGGTAACAAACCTTCATATGATACAAAATCAAATCAGTCCTCATCATCAAATACATCAAACAAAGCAAAAGACCAGTCTAATTCATCACAGAGTTCTAGCTCAAAATCAGATCAATCAAAATCGTCAGGTCCAACATCAAATGTCACCTGTAATTATTGTAAAAAGCCTGGTCACATTATTTCTGAATGCTATAGGATTAAGAATAGAAGAGAGATGTCTGGTTCTGCTCATTCAAATGGTTGTGCTACTGTTCCAATTTCAAGAAAGCCCATTGTTTGGGATTCATATACTCATACTGAGAAATCTACTCATAGTGATATTATGGAGGATTATAAGCCTTTCATGTCTGAAGGATCTGTGTCACTGTCAAGTGATGATACCAATTCAAAGCCAATTAAGATTCTTAGAGACACGGGTGCATCTCAGACTTTGTTGTTAGAAGG